AGTGTGATATAATTGGTGTCCTTACCAGTCCTATTTTTACTCCCTGCTTCCAGGAGATATCCAACACCCCTTGCAAGGTCATATATATATATCTATTCTCATATATACTTCTTTATTGCCAAGGTACATTATGGATTTGTCTTGAAAACATCGTACAACAATAACACCGCCGGAATTGAGTACATGCGAAAGGGCATCGGCAGCGGCGCAGAGGGCACTCAGGATGGCCGTTTCTACTTCCATCTTGGGGATGCTCTGCAGCGGGAAGGGAAGGCAGAAGAAGCTTATAAGGTATGAAGGTTTATTTTGTTGAATTCAGTTTTGGTTTGCTTTGTTTTATCAGTTATATCCTTCCCCCCCCCCTTTTTTTCTTTCTTTCTTTCTTTCTTTCTTTCTTTCTTCCTTCACCCTTTTGTTTATTCTGTTTCACTTCACTCTCATTTATTCCTAACCTTTTTCTCTTGGTATTTGTAAATAGTTTATAAAGGGTATAATGGTCTGATTAGTATCCATGCATGGGGATGAAATATATGGTGGAGAATTAATTTTGTATACTTTTCTTTTTTTTTATCATCATTTCTCTCTCTACCCTCTCTCTCTCTCTCTTTCTCTTTCTCTCTTTCTCTCTTTCTCTCTCTCTCTCTCTTTCTCTTTCTCTTTCTCTCTTTCTCTCTCTCTCTCTCTCTCTCTCTCTCTCTCTCTCTCTCTCTCTCTCTCTCTCTCTCTCTCTCTCTCTCTCTCTCTCTCTCTCTCTCTCTCCCCCCCCCCTCCTCCTCCTCCTCTTCCCCCTTTCTCCCCCTCTTTTCTTAAATCTCCCATTTCTTTTTCCTCCCTTTTAGCACATGGCATTGCTTAGATTATATCAGCTGCCCTCTTCCCATGATTCATCTCTCCTCCTCCCTTTTTCCCTCAGTTGTACGACACTGCTGTTGGAAAGGGCTTGTTCCTCAGCCGATACCAGCGTTCCTTATACAATGTTGACAGGCTGAGTTCGCAGCCCCATTGGACACAGGAGGAGACTACGTATCAAGAGTTCTTCAAGTAAGTAAGATATGCACAGAGGTGTTTGTGACTTTTACTGCTTCATTCTGTTATTGATAATAGAACTCTTCAGATGGAGTATTATTTTATTTTATTTTTTATTTATTTTTTTTTTTATATAGTTTTATTTCATAAGATATTTATAACATCAGAGATTCTTCTTTGTCTTTCAAGCCTTTTCACACTTGAGACATTTTTCAGGAACCTCGTATACGCTAAAAGTAAATTTGTGTCTGCCTTTCAGAAAACTGGAGCAGAACTGGCTAGCAATTCGAAAGGAAGGCCTAGAAGCACTTGCTCTGCCGCCCCAAGATGGATTCCGCCCGGAGGCAGAGAACCTCCAGGATACGGGGGACTGGAAGCAGTATGAGATTTTCTCTCGAGGAAGGAAGATAACTGCAAACTGTGTGAAGACCCCTCAGACATGTGCTCTTGTTGAGAGCTTCAAACCAGCTGCTGGATGCAAGCGTGGACAGGTAAATCTAAATGTCTGAAGTTTGGTCACATATAGGTAAAAGGTGTTTTTTCCAGATTATTTTTCCATTTAAGTTGTTAATGGCTGGTTTTTATTTTCTTTCTTTCTTTCTGTATTGCAGTTATTTGGGGATTGCATTAATAAGCACTATAAGCATTTCTTACAGAGTTAATAATATGTCACATGTTTCTTTTTCATTTTATGTGAATATACTAATTTAAGTATTCTTTTTTTTCTGCTTCAGGTGAAGTTCAGTGTCATGTATCCTGGCACACATGTTCATGCTCACACTGGCCCTACCAACTGCCGCTTGCGAGCCCACCTGGGCCTGCTCATACCTGAAGGGCTACGCCTACGCGTGGGTGAAACCAACCTAAGCTGGGCTGAAGGGAGAGTCATTGTGTTTGATGACAGCTGGGAACACGAAGTCTGGCATGAGGGGGATTCCCCGCGGTTGATCCTCATAGTGGATGTGTGGCACCCAGAGCTTACGGAAGAGGAAAGGTCATCCTTGTCCCCAATATAATTTCGAATCGAACACTTGCGTTCCTTTGGCGGCCAGTAGTGGTTCCTTCTTTAAGAGTCTTAAACAAGGTACTTATTTAAGCAAATGAGCTTAGTCACATTTTCGACAGTGGAACAAACAGGAGCAGAGAACAAAGATTATATGCAAAGAATTTTTATCCAGTTCAAGTGATGTAGATATGCTTATGATGATGTGTTTTGATACTGCCTCTTTCTTTTCTTTTTTTCTTTTTCTTTTTAAGTTCTCTCTTACCTTGTACTTGAGAGTCTTGTGAATTATGTTAGGGATTCAGTTCCAGATAAATGTCCAAAAGTTGTAAAAAAAAATGTCTGCCGGTCAAAAAGGGTTACCTTGCACCAGAAACAAAGATTAGTCCCGAGAGCCCAGGAAGTTGGAGTCAGCTCTTCCCACTCACTAGTCTGTTCTTTCCTCATACATGTAGTTCCTCCCAGTATCACTAGTGGTTCAGGATGTGCCATCTTACAGCCAGTGTTTCATGGAAGGATAGTAATGGTACATACTGCCGTTGTGTAACTCCATCCTTTTATTTTCTTCTCAATATCCAAATCGGATAACTAGGATAACTATAACATATATGCATAAGTATGCATATATATATATGTATGTATGTATCTGTGTGTATATGTGTATACATATATATATGTATATGTATATGTATGTATGTAACTAATTTTTTTTTTGTTTTTTTGTTTTTGTTTTTTTTTGTTTTTTTGTTTTGTTTCCATTAATAAATAGAAACACATTTTTTTTTAGATGGTGATAGGGAACAGCTTTTTTTTTTTCCCCATGAAAGTGATCTGTTAAATATGCTGTGGCCCTTCTTTGTCTGTTCGTCAGCCGTCTTCCTTTGAGCTTAAAGACAATGTGAGAAAACATTTGAGTGAGGAGCTGGAAAAGATAGATAGATAGATAGATAGTGGCAAAGTTCCTTTTTTTTTTTTTTTTTTGCTTTTCCAGCTAGTATTTTTTCAAGATAGAGTCGCATGCAACATTGCACTGAACCATCTTCAATATTTTTGTATCGATTGTTGTTAATGATGGTGCCAGTGTCTGACTTTCTGCAGTAAAGTTGTAGGGTAGAAATTTGTTGATTGTATGTGTGAAAGTTCTATGTTCTAGCAAGAATGAGGTTTTGGGATCATAGTTAGTGCTCTCAAATTATCTGGTGAAATTTGGTATTTATTTTTTTTTATTCATTTATTATTATTTTTTTTTCTGTTTCAATTTTTTATGGTGCTTATTTTTTGTCACAATTCTTATTGATTTCTGCTTGTAACTGGTGCTATTTTCTTTTCTTTTTTACAATTTCAGGAAACCAATAGCACACACACAAAAAAAAAAAAAAAGAAAAAAAAAAAAGTTTTGGTTTATAATACATGTCATGGACCAGCAAAAAGTCCATAAGTTATGATATCAATCACATAGTAAAGTCACAGAGAATTTTTTTTTTTTTTTTTCTTTTTTCCCTTAATGAAAATCATATTCGACCTGTTCTGTACTTTGCTAGTCAGGATTCCAGAATAGGTCACAGAGTACTTCCTTTTTGTGCCTTACTCGTGCTCAAATCTTGTAAGACCTGAGGCCGTGAGCGTCTTGGGTATCCATGCAGTATCCTCATGGTGTTCTTAGTTTTGATAAAGGTTATTGTATGCGAAGGAGTGAATGGAGTTCAAATGAGTGTTTAGAAGATACAAAATACAGTCACACATATATGTTGTATTCGGTGTTGAAATGAAGCTATGTTGTCAGATACTCCTCCCCCCCCCCCCAACACCTTTTTTTTTTTTTTTTTTTTTTTTTTTTTTTTTTTTTTTTTTTTTTTCTCCTCGTTACAATGTCATGTCCAAATCTAAGAGAACTTATCTGTTCAACTTTGAGGAAGAAATCCGGTCAGATAATTCACGTTGACTTGTTTTTATTCATTATTGTTGTATGTGTAATGTCTATCAACTTTATATCACTTCATAATTTTTTCATAATGTCCATTTGCTGTGAATTAAAGTGACCACAAAAAAAAGTTGTAAGAGTTTTCTGTTGTGTTATATACTTGTTGGTCTTTATTTATACTTAGTGTATTTTGTAGCTATTTAAAGAATAATAATAAAATAAAGATAACAAGTTCCAAAAGATAGTGGTTGACAAGCATCCAGTGCAAGTTATGACATGATGTACTTGTGTTCTTTGATCAAGTAAATCAGTTGTATTAGGGAAGTATTAAGGATGTATTTCTTTTTTTTTATTGAAGGGCTTATATCATATAAGTAAAAGCCTGCACAAGTGATATAGGAATGTTTTTTTTTTCTTTCTTTCTTTTTTTTTTTTCTTTCTTTCTTTTTTTTCTTAATGAAACCCGATAGGTTGTCTTGAATATGTGAAAAAAACTATCAACTGGTGGTTCCATTTTTGTTGAATAAATGGATATTATTAGATTGTGTTTTTATTAACTAAGTGTAACCATGTGGTGTTTATATAGACAGCAGCAATAAAGTGTAAATATTGCCATTATTGAAGAACTGCAATGTTTACTTTCTGAATTAACAAGTTAAGTTAAGAATAAAGAAAGCTTTGACTCCCCAACTTGATTTCATTTTATCTTACAGACTAAGCTCAACCTGAATGTAATAAGTAATTAACTGAAACACAAGAATCTCACATCTTAAATTTACATCAAACAGAATTCTGGAGTCATGTAAGAGTATACAACTAAAACTGTTCTTTCTTTCAAACTGAATTCATTCATTTTCCTTGCAACCAGACTTTTGGCTTCTCTTCACTGACAAGCTTTTCAATATTTGGTGTGGGACTTGACAATACACAAGCATATAACTTCCACCCAAGTCGATCCTCTGTTTCGACTTACTATGCAATAAACCTGAAAATCCATTTTTGTGCATGTGGGTTGATATACATCCTGGGAACACTGCATAATTTTCTCTC